CGCGGCTCTTGCCGCGCATGCGCATTCAGCCAATGACGACCGAAGGAGGAGGAGAGTCCCCAGCACCGAGGAAGCCCGGCGCTGGAAAAAGGTGAGTGTTTAACCCCCTTCCTCCCCCTTCAGCTCGGCGGGAGTGGGACCCTAAGGGTGATAGCCCTACTCTGGGGGAGCAACATATTTAAAAATCATCCCATTCGGTTCAGGGGTTCGGGAGATATGGCACTTTAACGTTTTGACCGACCGCACAGGCACAAGTGCCGAAAACAGTTCCATAACTTTTGGCCTTGCGGTCGGTCCTTATTCGTGGGTAAAAAAGTCCCGAAAGGCTTGTCATCCGTGGTTATCTTGATGTTCGCTAGAATCCCCATGTGTTACTTAGTCTTTCTACCGGCGGTGCGTTCGGTAGTTTTGGCACGGATTTCTGGTAGTCTGGAGGTTTGATGCATATGATGAATGCAGTGTTCATACAGTTTTAGGTGCCACAATTGCACGAATGCTTTAAAAGTCCCGAAAAGCTTTGTAGAAAATCCTCCCGAAAGTAACTAAAAACCTCCAGCTTGTAGACAGCTTGATGTCCTTTACTGAAGAAAACTATATACACTTTTAATCCGAGGTCTCTGTTCCCATATATGTCCCTGGCTAGTTCTTAAAGGGACAGTTATAGGGAACATTCCCAAGCACATGGCAGGGTTTTGTTACAGTTATACGCTTTGCCCATTACACACCTGGCAGTCAGTATAGAGAGAGCCACCTCCATCTTAGCTCCCTGTCAATCATTGTTATAAGCTCCGCCCTTTACACCTGGCAGTCAGTATAGAGAGAGCCGCCTCCATCTTAGCTCCCTGTCAATCATTGTTATAAGCTCCGCCCTTTACACCTGGCAGTCAGTATAGAGAGAGCCACCTCCATCTTAGCTCCCTGTCAATCATTGTTATAAGCTCCGCCCTTTACACCTGGCAGTCAGTATAGAGAGAGCCACCTCCATCTTAGCTCCCTGTCAATCATTGTTATAAGCTCCGCCCTTTACACCTGGCAGTCAGTATAGAGCCACCTCCATCTTAGCTCCCTGTCAATCATTGTTATAAGCTCCGCCCATTACACCTGGCAGTCAGTATAGAGAGAGCCACCTCCATCTTAGCTCCCTGTCAGTCATTGTTATAAGCTCCGCCCTTTACACCTGGCAGTCAGTAGAGAGAGAGCCACCTCCATCTTAGCTCCCTGTCAATCATTGTGATAAGCTCCGCCCTTTACACCTGGCAGTCAGTATAGAGAGAGCCGCCTCCATCTTAGCTCCCTGTCAATCATTGTTATAAGCTCCGCCCTTTACACCTGGCAGTCAGTATAGAGAGAGCCGCCTCCATCTTAGCTCCTGTCAATCATTGTTATAAGCTCCGCCCTTTACACCTGGCAGTCAGTATAGAGAGAGCCGCCTCCATCTTAGCTCCCTGTCAATCATTGTTATAAGCTCCGCCCTTTACACCTGGCAGTCAGTATAGAGAGAGCAGCCTCCATCTTAGCTCCCTGTCAATCATTGTTATAAGCTCCGCCCTTTACACCTGGCAGTCAGTATAGAGAGAGCCACCTCCATCTTAGCTCCCTGTCATTCATTGTTATAAGCCCCGCCCTTTACACCTGGCAGTCAGTATAGAGAGAGCCACCTCCATCTTAGCTCCCTGTCAATCATTGTTATAAGCTCCGCCCTTTACACCTGGCGGTCAGTATAGAGAGCCACCTCCATCTTAGCTCCCTGTCAATCATTGTTATAAGCTCCGCCCTTTACACCTGGCAGTCAGTATAGAGAGAGCCACTTCCATCTTAGCTTCCTGTCAATCATTGTTATAAGCTCCGCCCTTTACACCTGGCAGTCAGTATAGAGAGAGCCACCTCCATCTTAGCTCCCTGTCAATCATTGTTATAAGCTCCGCCCTTTACACCTGGCAGTCAGTATAGAGAGAGCAGCCTCCATCTTAGCTCCCTGTCAGTCATTGTTATAAGGTCCGCCCTTTACACCTGGCAGTCCACACAGAGAGAGCATACAAGGAAGAGGAGTAGAGTATTTCTTCTCTTCATTTGTAATGTTTACCGTGCCTGGACGGAACTGGATTGTGATGTAATTTGATTTTAATATGAATTGAAAAGAAAATGGAGCAGTCCATGGAAAACAGATGTAACACAAATCACATGTGCTGTTCAATGTTTCCTACAGTGGTGATATTTGTAAATGACAGTCGGTTCCCCTTTTATAATAGAGTGCTTTTTAAGAAAGCCCAATGCCCCATTCAGGATTTTTCGTGATGGTTTGGAAATATGACGTGTAGTTGCTGAGATTAATGCATATGTAGTAATCCTTGAATCGAAACGTTTTTCATGTTTATGGTCGTTGTCCTAAAATCAGTGACTGCCATACCAGTTATTCCAAATGTTATTAAACTACATTTCCCATGATTCTTAGAGAACCTTCATATTCACACAGTGAACTTTCAGTTGTTAGCGGGAAATACAATAGCTGTGTGCCACAGAGTTATGGGAGTTGCAGTTCAGTAACAGCTGGCATTCCTACATTTAAATATTTCTGGCATGTTTTTGCCATTTTGAGGATCCCCCATTTTTCTGGAAGTGACCGTGCCCACCGTGTAGATCTTTGACCTATGTCCGTTATTCTGTTTTTATTTTATGTCACATCAGTTTGTTTTTGTAAATGTTAACCAAATTTATTGAAATAAATGTTTTTGATATATGTTTTGATATATAGAATATTGTAATAAACAATTGGAAATGTCTCCAAACCCTAGCATCTACCTCTTCCTAGCTTCTTATTTTACCCGACAGTGCAAATCACAAAGAATCTGTCGACCAGTCCTGTGGGTAACCTTAAGGTAGGTATAGATTCAGTCTACACGCTGTGCAAATGTGTTAACATTGTAAAGCACTCCAGAATATGTTGGCACTATATGAACATTGATAATTATAATAGTTAACTCTTATATTAACCTGAATAAAACATAATCTAAAAATGGAAAGAAGGGGTCACTGCCTGTGTTTGCAGTGTATTCTGCTCTTCAAAGCAGGATTTACCATAAAGTGATCTACGCCGGCCCCATAGGGCCCAGGGGTTAGACAGGAATTCCCAAACCTTGACAATACTGGCTTCACTCACCATCATTATATTAATTGTAAAAGGATGGGGGCCCAGAACTGGTAATCTGCCTTGGGATCTTAAACCTTCTCAGCTGTTCTTTCAAAACCTGAGAAAAGTCAGGACAGAAACATGGATAGTGTAACTTGTTATGTATAAACTTGCTAGCAAGATGGCAAACAATATGCAGATCATCTTTTATTAACGGTCAAGGATATTTACTGTGAATTGTAGTGAATTCCAAGTGAATCTTGTTTGGTTTTTTTTTGACCAAATTACCCAAAATGAAAATGTCCCTGGCTCTGAGAATTGTTCAGGTTTGGCTATTTTGAAATTCACTTTTAATTTACATTGTATCACTTGCAATTCACACTTTACAGGGTTATTCAAAGGGAATTCAAGGCGAATTTTAAATTTAAGGCCAAAGTATCCAAACAGGAAGAAGAACTCAGTTTTTCACATGCAGCTATTTAGATCTTGAATTCCCACGTTGGTGAATAAGCTGCTTAATGTATAACTTTGTCTAAAATGAAAGTGCACATTAAGTGGGCTGGGTGACAAACAACACAAGGGCTTTTACACATTTACATATATATTTTTAAAATGTGACGCTAAGCACTCTTTCTG